GTCTGCTAGCCGAGCTAGGTCCGCAAACCTATTCGTATTATTCGAGTCATCTTGACAGGCGCTCTTGGTTTTCTGTACTTAACTCGAGCTATATGACAGCTACAGGGACTGTCCGTTTTCTGTACTTAACTCGAGTTCTAGGGGAGCTGCAGAGCTGACACGCACATAAACCGATTCAGAATCATCCGTCGCGTTCGTCTGTTAATTCCAGAGCTCTGAACTCGGTCTGCTGCCCGATCTAGAATCGCGAAACTATTCGTATTGTTCGAGTCATCTTGAGAGGTGCTGTCGGTTTTCTGTACTTAACTCGGGCTGTAGGGGGGCTACACTGCTGGTAGTCACAGGAATCGATTTGAAGACATCAGGCGCGTCCGTCTGGCGAATCCAGAGCTCGGAATCCGGTCTGCTGCCCGAACTAGGTCCGCGAAACTATTCGTATTGTTCGAGTTATGCTCAGCGGTGCTGTCGGTTTTCTGCACTTAACTCGGGCTGTAGGGGAGCTCCAGGGCTGGTAATCACAGGATTCGATTCGGAGATATCAGACGCGTCCGCCTGTCGCATTCAGAGGTCTGAACTCGGTCTGATACTCGAGCAAGGTGTACCAAACTATTTATATTGTTCGAGTCATCTGAGAGGTGCTGTCGGTTTACGCACGTAACTCGGGCTGTAAGAGAGCTAGAGAGCACGTGCAGAAGACAATCCAGAAGCATCGGGGGCGTTCGGCTGTTGCATCGAAAGGTCTGAAATCGCTGGGCTGAAAAACGATTCGTTATCTCATTTGTTCTGACATTATATATTATCAGGAAGCTCTACGAGTCCGCCGGCGGTAAGAAAGGTTGACGGTTCACCTGCGGTGCCCAGTTTTCATCCTTTGCAGTGAATCATGGCGCTTTCGATGGTGCAATTCTCAGGGCTCTAGCTGCATTATTTCGGTCAGAAGACTAGGAGGAACCAACATTGTGTAAGACCGAAAAAAACATTGTTTTCCTTTTTCAAGCTGGTATTGAGAAGCGTTTTTCTGTTCTTATCTAAGAACTGACTTGGTCTATCCAGAGCTATCCACGTGTTCCGAGCAGCAAGAGCTCTACAAGGATCCCGGCGGTAACCTCGTTGACGATTTACCGCCGGCTCCCCGATGAGCTAGAGGAATTCCGGCGCGGGGTGGAGCTACCGACCAAAAGAGACAATGTGACAGCTTTGGGTGGGTTTTACTAAGGTTCGAAAGATATTTCACAATTGACTTTGAGAAACCAGATGTTTCGCCTGTAGTGGGTTATGCCGCGTCTGCCAGTCAAATTTTTAGGTCCCTAGGTGCAGTATTACTAAAAACACTGGGCGCCAGCGGTAGACCGTCAACCTGTCTTTCCGCCGGGAGACTCGTAGAGCTTCCTGACCATATATAATACCAGGAAAAAGATTGCAGAGAACGAATATGTTTTTCGGCCCGAGCGATTTCAGATCTCTCGATGCAGCAGCCAAACGCCTCTGATGCTTCTCGATCGTTTTCTGCGCGTACGACTCTAGCGTTCCTCAGCCCGAGTTACGTGCGAAAATCGACAGCACCCCTCAAGATGACTCGAACGATACGAATAGTTTCGCGGACCTAGCTCGAGTAGCAGACCCAGTTCAGACCTCTGAATGCGACAGGCTGACGCGCCTGATGTCTTCAAATCGAATCCTGTGATTATCAGCCCTGTAGCCCCCATACAGCCCGAGTTAAGTGCAGAAAACCGAGAGTATCTCTCAAGATAACTCGAACAATACGAATAGTTTCCGGTACCTAGCTCGGGCAGAAGACCGAGTTCCGAGCTCTGGATTCGCCAAGCAGATGTGCCTGATGTCTCCAAATCGAATCCTGTGATTACCAGCCCTGTAGCCCCCCTACAGCCCGAGTGAAGTACAGAAAACTGACAGCACCCCTCAAGATGACTCGAATAATACGAATAGTTTCGCGGACCTAGATTGGGCAGCAGACCGAGTTCAGAGCTCGTGATACAACAGACGAACGCTCCCGATGATTCTGAATCGATTCCTGTAAGTATAAGCTCTGTAGCTGTCCTATGGCTCGAGTTAAGTACAAAATACCGACAACGCGTATCAAGATGACTCGAAACGGCCGACGCTTTTTGGCAGTAAAAGGTACCCGATCGAGCTCAGATCAAGATGGCGAGCGGGAATGGGATCCAATATCACGGGAAAAATACTAGAGCTCGAACGAATGATTGAATTTCGAGAAGAAATTTTGAACCGACCAAAAGTCATCAAAAGGTCCGTCGAGAGTTATCTTGCCAACTAGCTCTCCGGTGCGCCAGAATCACTCTTAAGCCAGCAACTGGGCGCCGGCGGTAAAACCGTCAACCTTTCTTACGCCGGGGGACTCGTAGAGCTTCCTGACAATATATAATGTCGAAAAAATTGCAGAGAACAAATAGTTTTTCAGCCGAAGCGATTTCACACCACTCGATACAACAGCCGAAAGCCCCAGATGCTTCTGGATTATTTCCTGTACGAGCTCTGTAGCTCTCCTACAGCCCGAGTTACGTGCGTAAATCGATAGCACCTCTCAAGATGACTCGAACAGAACGAATAGTTTGGCCTCTCAGGATGACTCGAACAATACGGTAGTTTCGCAGACCTAGTTCGGGCAGCAGACCGATTTCCGAGCTCTGGATTCGACAGGCGGACGCGCCTGATGTCTTCGAATCGATTCCTGTGGCACTGTAGCCCCCCTACAGCCCGAGTTAAGTGCAGAAAACCAACACCTCTCAAGATGACTCGAACAATACGAATAGTTTCGCGATTCTAGATCGGGCAACAGACCGAGTTCAGAGCTCTGGATAACAGACAAACGCGACTGATGATTCTGCATCGGTTTTCTGTAAGTATCAGCTCTGCAGCTGTCCTATCCCTCGAGTTTAGTAAAGAAAACCGAGAGCGCCTGTCAAGATGACTCGAATACTACGAATAGGATTGCGGACCTAGCTCGGCTAGCAGACCGAGTTCAGACCTCTAAATACAACAGACGAACGCGCCTGATCATTCTGAATCGATAAGGTGTGCTTACCAGCTGTGTAGCTGTGCTGTATCTCAAGTTAAGTCCAATAAACTGACAGCGCGTGTCGAGATGACTCGAAACGGCCGATCCCGCCCGTGTGCTTTCTGGCAGTAAAAAGTACCCGATCTAGCTGAGATCAAGACGGCGAGCGGGAATGAGATCGAACATCACGGGAAAAAATACTAGAGCTCTAACGAATGGTTGAATTTCGAGAACAAAATTTTCAACCGACCAAAAGTCACCAAAAGGTCCGTCGAGATTTTTCTTGCCAACTAGCTCTCCAGCGCCCAGGAATTACTCTTAACCTTCCAGCAGCAACTTGCTAAGGGAAGCTCTACGAGTTACTAGCTAAGGGAAGCTCTATGACTTACTTGACGGAACCGTCTTTGGATAAAAACACTGGGCGCCAACCTTCCTTACCGCCGGGGGGCTCGTAGAGCTTCCTGACAAAATATCATGTCGAAACAAATTGCAGAGAACAAATAGTTTTTCAGCCCAAGCGATTTCAGACCTCTCGATGCAACAGCGGAACGCCCCCGATGCTTCTGGATTGTCTTCTGTACGAGCTCTGTAGCTCGCCTACAGCCCGAGTTACGTGCGTAAATCGACAGCACCTCTCGAACAATACGAATAGTTTGGCAAACCTAGCTCGAGTATCAGACCGAGTTCAGAGCTCTGGATTCGACAGGCGGACGCGCCTGATGTCTCCGAATCGATTCCTGTGATTACCAGACCTGCAGCCCCCCTACAGCCCGAGTTAAGTGCAGAAAACCGACAGCATCTCTCAGGATGACTCGAACAAGACGAATAGTTTCCCGCTCGGGCAGCAGACCGAGATCGGAGCTCTGTTTTCGACTGCCGGACGCGCCTGAAGTCTCCGAATCGATTCCTGTGATTACCAGCCCTATAGCGCCCCTACAGTCCGAGTTAAGTGCAGAAAACCGAGAGCATCTCTCAAGAAGACTCGAAGAATACGAATAGTTTCGCGATTCTAGATAGGGCAGCAGACCAAGTTCAGAGCTCTGGATTCAAAAGACGAACGCGACTGATGATTCTGAATCAGTTTCGTAAGAATCAGATCTGTAGCTGTCATATAGCTCGAGCTAAGTACAGAAAACCGAGAGCACCTGTCAATATGACTCGAATAATACGAATAGATTTACGAACCTAGCTCGGCTAGCAGACCTATTTCAGACCTCTGGATGCAACAGGCAAACGCGCCTGATCAGTCTCAATCGATAAGGTGTGTTACCAGCTCTGTAGCTGTCCTGTATCTCGAGTTAAATCCAATATACCGGGAGCGCGTATCAAGATGACTCGAAACGGCCGATCCCGCCAACCTGCTTTTTGGAGTAAAAGGTACCCGATCGAACTGAGATCGTCATGGCGAGCGGGAATAAGATCGAATATCACGGGAAAAAATACTAGAGCTCAAACGAATTGTTGAATTTCGAGAAAAAAAATTCAACCGACCAAGAGTCACCAAAAGGTCCGTCGAGATTTTTCTTGCCAACTAGCTCTCCAGAGCCCCGGAACTGGGAACCAGCGGTAAAACGTCAACCTGTGTTTTTGCGTCTTTGCTGGGACCATCTTGGCCACTGAGGCCAGGTCCTACAAAGTCTCAGGCGAAGCGAAGTCTCTTAAAGAAGTTCGGCACAGCCTGTGGGAGCACATCACATAGAGGACTCCGAGGTGTGCAACCCTCGAGCAGTTACGAAACTGATGAGGCGAAAATAATACTACGACATGAGAGCCAGGAGACCTGGCCAAGAACTGACAATGCACACACATAATTATTGAAGACTATGCATTGAATAGGGATGCACTGAATGACCACACGAGGCAATCACAATCAACAATCAAAAAGACCACGCGAGGCAAACACAATCAACAATCCAATACAATAAGTTCGGATTGAAAGGAATCGCTCGAAGAATACGAATATCTACCGCAGAGGCAAAACCTGAGATTTACACCTTCGTTCAAAGTCCGTCAACGTCCTACCGAACCTACACACTTCGTCAAACTCCTGACCTCCTATGTCGGCGCCTTTACCTTTACCTTTGCCTTTGCCTTTGCCTTTGCAGGCAGTACTTCCACATGACGACGTTGTATCGTTCCTCGGACGTCCATAGAATTGGATTCGGAATTCGTCGCACTTGGAATCCTGTAGAAACTTGGCAGCCTCGGCACGGTTCATCTGCCCTGTAAGATATCTGTGCCTCTCGAAGAATTCCAGAAGGTCCTCCAACGTCGCTTGCACATTCTCGAACGTCCCGCGCTTCCGCACAGCATAATTTGCCCTGGCCTTTGCAGGGATCCCACCTTCTGTCAGAAGTTCTGCAAACCAATCCACTCCATTCTTTAAATACTGGATCGCATTCGACTCGTTGATACTGCCAGCAGCGTCAATCCATGCCTTAACATCGGCAATGGTGGCCTGAGAGCACGTGGAAGTCCCCTTGGCCTTCACATCCGAAGAAGATGAGACCACTGCCTTCACATCAGAAGAAGAAGAATATGAAAGAGCTGCATACGTGTCAGAAGAAAATGAGACCACTGCCTGCACATCTTTCCCACCTGACTCACGAAGGCGTAGAGCTTCCTTGCACGCAGGCGTCTGACTTTGCGTAGAGCTCATGAAGGCGTAGACCCCCTGAGTTTCCACGCCAGCATCCATTGAAGTGAACTGAGTTTGCACACAGGCGTCCTTGCCAGTGAACTGAGTTTGCACGCCAGCATCCATTGAAGAAACGTTTGGGGAATCCGTGACAGCGTCCACTTCCGCACCGTTGTGCATACCAGAAACAAGATTCTCTGTTTGCACACAGGCGTCCATTAAAGAGAGCTGAGTTTGTACACGGGCGTCCTGCACGCTGGCGGCAGCGGAACTTCCAACTGTTGAACTCCCAACTGCACTGTCATAAGAATGGGTCTGGCACAAAGTCAAACCAACTGCGGAACTTCCAAATGTTGAACTCCCAACTGCTGTTGAACTCCCAACTGCACTCTCATAGGAATGGGTATGACAAAGAGTCGGGGGGGGTCTCCGTTTGCACATCGACACGCACAGTCCGGCAAAAGGAAGAAAAAGTCTGCACTCCCACTTCCTGGATCCCCCCTCTGCAGTCTCCCTCCAATCCAGGCGGAGCAGCCAATTCTGTCATAGGAATCGTATAAGTATCGGTTTTTGGCAACAACGAGTCCAAGCAAACGGGAATACATGGCGGCTTGCAGAAGCCCAAATAAACGGCACGAGATCTCCGTGCAGCTCGCCTGTGGCAACTGCGAACATGTGGCATGATTCGTGCAACGAGAAACAAGAATCAAATTCAGGAATAAGTCACACGCACAAGGCGGATCTCCACGCGAGGCGAAGGTACAATACAAATTGCCACAACCACACCGCAACAAGGAATGAATATGAGAGGCCAACAAAGAGAGACAAGATGTACAGGGAGATGGGCAGTTGCGTAGGCAGAGCAAAACACCACGCTAGCTCAACGTTCACCTTCGCGGAGGTTCCCCAGGCAGGAGAAAATGAACGCACGCGGAGCTTGAGCCGGCAGTGCTTGAGCCGGGAACCTCGTAGAGCTCTTTTCTTGCACGGCGATCGTCGGAGCACATGAAGGAAGCTTCTGGAACGGGAAAGAAAAAACTCTAGAAAACACGTTTTTCTGTTTTTATCCAACGTCAGTTCCTGCAAGTCTTTGGATAATAATATTGCAGCTACGGACCTGAGAATTTAACTGGCAAGCGCGGCATAACCCACGACACGTGAGAAAAATACCGGTTCTCAAAATAAATTGTCAAATATCTTTCAAACTGGCGCCGGCGGTGAACCGCAACCTGGTCACCGCCGGGAATCTCGTAGAGCTCCTTCCACGCGTGAGAGTGGACTCGACAGAGAGCTTCTGGAAGCATTTCGCCCCCCCCCCCAAAAAAAAAACAAAAAAAAATCATGTCGATATGAAGTTGGTTCCGCCAAGTGTTTTAATAGTAAATTTGCGCCTACAAAGCTCATGTTAAGACGCAGAGGTCCTTATACTCGTTTACAGGTGCGAAAAATCTGCTTTCTTAAAATGAATGGTTAAATATCTTTCAAATCTTAGCAAAACCGACTGAAAGTTGCCACATTGCCCTTCCTGGCCGGGTCGACCAACTAGCTCCAGCCCGCGCCGGAATTCCTCTAGCTCATCGATGCCGAAGAGCTCTACGAGGTATTACTCTTAAGCTTCCAGCAACTGGGCGCCGGCGGTAAACCGTCAACCTTCCTTACCGCCGGGAGACTCGTAGAGCTTCCTGACAGGATATAATGTCGGAAAAAATTGCAGAGAACGAATAGTTTTTCAGCCCAAGCGATTTCAGACCTCTCGATGCAACAGCGGAACGCCCCCGATGCTTCTGAATTGTCTTCTGTACGAGCTCTGTAGCACTCCTACAGCACGTGCGTAGATCGACAGCACCTCTCAAGATGACTCGAACAATACGAATAGTTTGGCAAACCTAGCTCGAGTATCAGACCGAGTTCAGAGCTCTCGATTCGACAGGCGGACGCGCCTGATGTCTCCGAATCGATTCCTGTGATTACCAGCCCTGCAGCTGCCCTACAGCCCGAGTTAAGTGCAGAAAACCGACAGCATCTCTCAGGATGACTCAAACAATACGAATACTTTCGCGGACCTAGTTCGGGCAGCAGACCGAGTTTCGAGCTCTGGATTCGACAGGCGGACGCGCCTGATGTCTCCAAATCGATCCCTGTGACTGTAGCCCCCCTACAGCCCGAGTTAAGTATAGAAAACCGACAGCACCTCTCAAGATGACTCGAAGAATACGAACAGTTTCGCGATTCTAGATCGGGCAGCAGACCAAGTTCAGAGCTCTGGATTCAACAGACGAACGCGACTGATGATTATGAATCGGTTTCTGTAATTATCAGCTCTGTAGCTGTTATATAGCTCGAGTTAAGTACAGAAAACCGAGAGCACCTGTCAATATGACTCGAATAATACGAATAGGTTTGCGGACCTGGCTCGGCTAGCAAACCGAGTTCAGACCTCTGGATGCAACAGGCGAACGCGCCTGATCATTCTGAATCGATTAGGTGTGCTTACCAGCTCTGTAGCTGTCTTGTATCTCGATGAGTCCAATATACCGAGAGCGCGTATGAAGATGACTCGACACGACCGATCCCGCCTGCCTGCTTTTTGGCAGTAAAAGGTACCCGATCGAGCTGAGATCAAGATCGGATATCACGGGAAAAAATACTAGCGTTTTAACGAATTGTTGAATTTCGAGAACAAAATTTTCGACCGACCAAAAGTCACCAAAAGGTCCGTCGAGATTTTTCTTGCCAACTAGCTCTCCAGCGCCCCGGAATTACTCTTAAGCTTCCAGCAATAACTTGCTAACGGACGCTCTACGAGTTACTTGGTAGCGTCCAAAACCCAGAGAGCAAAGGGCACACACACCATAACTGGGCATCGGCGGTAAACCGTTAACCTTCCTTACCGCCGGGAGACTCGTAGAGCTTCCTGACAATATTTAATCTCGAAGAAAAGGCAGAGAACGAATAGTTTTTCAGCCCAAGCGATTTCAGACCTCTCGATGCAACAGCGGAACGCCCCTGATGCTTCTGAATTGTCTTCTGTACGAGCTCTGTAGCTCTCCTACGACAGCACCTCTCAAGATGACCCGAACAATACGAATAGTTTTGGCAAACCTAGCTCGAGTATCAGACCGAGTTCAGAGCTCTGGATTCGACAGCGGACGCGCCTGATGTCTCCGAATCAATTCTTGTGATTACCAGCCCTGCAGCTGCCCTACAGCCCGAGTTAAGTGCAGAAAACCGACAGCATCTCTCAGGATGACTCAAACAATACGAATACTTTCGCGGACCTAGTTCGGGCAGCAGACCGAGTTTCGAGCTCTGGATTCGACAAGCGGACGCGCCTGATGTCTCCAAATCGATCCCTGTGACTACCAGCACTGTGGCCCCCCTGCATTCCGAGTTAAGTACAGAAAACCGACAGCACCTCTCAAGATGACTCGAAGAATACGAATAGTTTTGCGATTCTAGATCGGACAGCAGACCGAGTTAAGAGCTCTGGATTCAACAGACGAACCCGACTGGTGATTCTGAATCGGTTTCGGTAAGCATCAGCTCTCTAGCTGTCGTATAGCTCGAGTTAAGTACAAAAAACCGAGAGCACCTGTCAAGATGACTCGAATAAATCGAATAGGTTTGCGGACCTAGCTCGGCTAGCAAACCGAGTTCAGACCTCTGGATCCAACAGGCAAACGCGCCTGATCATTCTGAATCGATTAGGTGTGCTTACCAGCTCTGTAGCTGTCTTTCATCTCGAGTATATACCGAGAGCGCGTATGAAGATGACTCGAAACGACCGATTCCGCCTGCCTGCTTTTTGGCAGTAAAAGGTACCCGATCGAGCTGATATCAAGATGGCGAGCGAGAATGAGATCGAATCTCACGAAAGAAAATACTAGAGCTCAAAAGAATTGAGGAAGCTCGAGAACAAAATTTTCAACCGACCACTTGGCAGCGTCCACTGGGCGCCGGCGGTAAACCGTCAACCTTCCTTACCGCCGGGGGACTCGTAGAGCTTCCTGACAATGTATAATGTGGAAAAAAATGCAGAGAACGAACAGTTTTCCAGCCCAAGCGATTTCAGACCTCTCGATGCAACAGCCGAACGCCCCCGATGCTTCTGGATTATCTTCTTCACAAGCTCTGTAGCTCTCCTACAGCCCGAGTTACGTGCGAAAATCGACAGCACCTCTCAAGATGACTCTAACAAAACGAATAGTTTGGCAACACAGCTCGAGTATCGAACCGAGTTCAGAGTTCTGAATGCGACAGGCGGACGCGTCTGATGTCTGCGAATCGACTCCTGTGATTACCAGCCTTGCAGCCCCCCTACAGCCCGAGTTAGGTGCAGAAAACCGACAGCACCTCTCAGGATGACTCGAACAAAACAATAGTTTCGCGGACCTAGTTCGGGCAGCAGACCGAGTTCCGAGCTCTGGATTCGGCAGGCGGACGCGTCTGATGTCTTCAAATCGATTCCTGTGACCACCAGCACTGTAGCCTCCCCCTCCCACCCCGAGTTGAGTGCAGAACACCGAGAGCACTTCTCAAGATGACTCGAACAATACGAACAGTTTCGCGATTCTAGATCGGGCAGCAGACCGAGTTCAGGGCTCTGGATTTAAGAGAGAAACGCGACTGATGATTCTGAATCGGTTTCTGTAAGTATCAGCTCTGTAGCTCTCCTATAACTCGAGTTAAGTACAGAAAACCGAGAGCGTCTGTCAAGATGACTCGAATAATACGAATAGGTGTGCGGACTCAGCTCGGCTAGCAGACCGAGTTCAGACCTCTAGATTCAACAGGCGAACGCGCCTGATCATTCTGAATCGATTAGCTGTGCTTACCAGCTCTGTAGCTGTCCTAAAGCTCGAATTATGTTCAGAAAACCGTTATCGCGTGTCAAGATGACTTGAAACGGCCGATCCCGCCTGCCTGCTTTTTGGCAGTGAAAGGTACCCGATCGAGCTGACATCAAGATGGCGAGCGGGAAAAAGATCCAATATCACGGGAAAAATACTAGAGCTCAAACGAATTGTTCAATTTCGAGAACAAAATTTTCAACCTACCAAAAGTCACCAAAAGGTCCGTCGAGATGTTTCTTGACAACTAGCTCTCCAGCGCTCTGGAATTACTCTTAAGTTTCCAGCAATAACTTGCTAAGGGAAGCTCTACGAGTTACTTGCTATCGTCCAAAATCCGGAGAGCGAGAACTGGCGCCGGCGGTGAACCGTCAACCTGGTCACCGCCGGGAACATCGTAGAGCTCCTTCCACGCGTAAGAGTGCTCAGTATGGAAAGAGAAGCTTCTGGAAGCATTTCTCGAAAAAGAGAAAACATCATATCTTTCATGTCGACATGAAAGTGGTTCCTCCAAGTGCTTCGATAGAAAAGGTGCACCTAGAGAGTTCATATGAAGACGCAGAGGCCCTCATAGTCGTCCACAGGTGCGAA